TTACTTTAAAAAAGGTAAGGTCTCACAGAGAGCCTGGGAAAGTTCATTAGCAACAGCTAAGGGGAGAGGTAGACATCCCAAAGGAGCTGGGAGGGCACCTGCTGACCATTAGTGGGTGGCTGGTCTCTGGTTCTGCTGGTCCTCTGGGTTCAGGTTGGGGACTAGAGCATCGTTCACCCCCAGCTATAGTGTATGAATCCAATCCATCCAAGAGAGCACCATCCATGGAGATGTGTCTGCAATGAATTGTCAGCTGAGCAAGTGACCCGAGGCAGATGTGGGGAGACTGTGCAAAACCAAGGGAGTCGGATGCCCAGAAGGTAAGAATAAGGAAGGTCCCATAGGGTTGAGGAGCAGGAAGCTTCTGGAGCAGTTTCAAGGCTTTAGTAACTGCCTAAAGCTGGCTTTACATTCTTCAATAGACTGTTGCTTGTTCAGGCTGGATGCTTTGGAATGTTTCAAAGTGGAACACACAGGAAGAATAAGTTTGAAAGAGGATAGAGGCCAATGCCACAAAATATAGGATAGAATTGAATAGAAGCAGGTGGCTCTGCCAAACCAAAAAAAAAAAAAAAAATAGATTCAATTATTTGAGAGAGCTGATTGAGTCAGTAACTTCTAATACATTTAAAAAATAGTTTATGGCCCGACCAGCGTGGTTCAGTGGTTGAGTGTTGACCTATGAACCAGGAGGTCATAGTTTGATTCCCAGTCACATGCCGGATTGTAGGCTCAAGCCCCAGTGCGGGGCATGCAGGAGGCAGCTTATCAATGATTCTCTCTAATCATTGATGTTTCTATCTCTCTCTCCCTCTCCCTTTCTCTCTGAAATCAATAAAAATATATATTTTTAAAAAATAGTTTAGGTAAGTTTAAAACTCTTGAACTCAGCTTGACAGCTGGTGTACAGGATCAAAGAAGTAAGAATATTGAATATTTATCTGAAGTACAATTTTTTTGTCCTTAAAAATCTTTAACTTTTCTTTGTCATCATCCTTGGTATTTGATGATTTTCTTAAGGTCTTTAAAAGAAACTGATTTCTCTTTTGTAACAGTACATCTCTATATAAGATAATCTGTAAGAAGAGGTGTTGATTTGTTTTTTTAGTTTACATTCCCAAAGGTTTCATGCCCAAATGGGAGTGCCTGCCATTATTCAAAAGGCACCCATGATCATTTCATCAATGTATAATGAGAAAAGGCAAACAGTATGTTTAGGGTATGCCAAACGCCCCAGGTATGTGTCATACACTTTGTTTTGGCAACTTGGAACTTGTATATTTCCATAAGAAACAATGTGATCCTATTTATTTCTCAATCGCTTAAGGTGAAATTGTCTCCTCCCCAAACTCAACAAAAAAATCCAATCTGCAGAAACAGATCTACAGGATTACCTTTTGTTCCGAAACAAAAGACAGATGTCATCAGAGAACTATATCAATTTGGTTGTGTTAATGTGGTATTTAGCCACTTGTATAATCTACTTGAGTCAAGAAATAAGACCCACTCTGCAAATACTGAAGGTACCATTAAAGTTATGCTACCCAATGAAAAACCATTGAAGAATATGGGATTACACATTTCCAAGCATGGAATCCTTCTAGTTACTTAATCAAATCCACTTAGCATCAGAACTTTGGAATACCTAAAGGAATTGCCCAAAGGGAATGAAACAACAAAAGCAGATTATTTAAGTATTAATTTAGTGACAGTATTAATGAATCAAAATGCTTCAAAAATTGATTTAAAACATCAGACATATTCTTTTCTGTTCCATGAATATCCAGAATGCCTGGAAAGGATGAGGAAACAGCTGAAATACACAAAGTTGTTTTTATGGATTTTTTTCAAAGAATCAATTTCTTCAAGTACTGTGTACTCCCCTCAATTAATATGTCTTTATTAATTTCAGAGAGAAGAAGGGAGAGGAGAGAGATAGAAACATCAATGATGAGAGAGAATCATTGATCAGCTGCCTTCTGCACACCCCCTACTGGGGATTGAGCAACCAGGGCATATACCCTGACCAGGAATCAAACCCTGACCTCCTGGTTCATATGTTGACACTCAATCACTGAGCCACACTGGCCAGGCAGTACAATGTACTTTAAAAAAAAATTTTTTTAATTAATTTGAGAGAGAGAGATACCAATTTGTTGTTCCACTTATTTATGCATTCATTGGTTGCTTCTTATATGTGCCCTGAGCAGAATTCAAATCCACAGCCTTGGAGTATCAGAACAATGCTCTAACAGGGCCTATGTACTTTTAGACCCAAGTAACCAAAGGGTACTTATAGATAAATTTGCTTTAAGGAAAAAAAGAGATGAATCTTCCAGGAGACCTAATTATTTTCTCCTTAATAAGGTCAATATTAAAAAAGATCAGAAACACAGAGAAAACCATAACAACTTGTGAAGGGAATCTTTCTAGTACAGGACTCCAGCCAGAATGAACAGGTCTGTTTCTCAGAGCCAACTCTTCACTGAAATTTCTGTTCCATTAGGGCTGACACCTCAGCAGAGTAGTGCGCTCAGCTCCGTTCAGGCTGGAACTTCACCGCCCATAAACATTTCAGAAATATGCCTCTAAGCCAGCCTTGGCTAAGGGCCTACTCAATACAGTAATCCACTTGGACAGCTGAGAGGGTGAAGTTGGGTCAGAGATAAGCAGTGCCGCCTGAATGTTCCTACTCACCTCCCACCTGACAAGCCCAGGCACGGGGCTGTGTGGCACAGGTGTGCTGGCTGTGCCTGCCTAAGGCTTAACGACTCCACGTTCCAACCTCTGTTACTGTAACTACACTCACCCCGATACTTAACATTTGCCAAAGTGAGTCAATTTCCTAAATTTTATACATGGATTCTGGATTTAACTGCTGAAATAAAATCCTCAGTGTTTTTTAATTTTAAGTTTCCACTGGGTTTGATTTCATTCATTCAGTAAATATTTATTGAGCGCTTGCTATGTGTTAGGGTTTTCCCTATGGTTGAGCTAAACAGGGGAAAGAGAGCTGCCAAGGTCTGCCCTGTTCAGTTTCCTTCCAAGTGAACAAACTCCCAAGGGAGTCCGCAGTTTGGAACTGATGTTGTCTGTGGCAGCTGCCGGCTGTGGGGAAACAAAAGTGTCAGAGCTTACGAGTGACAGATGGAAGTAATGGCTTGGGTTCAAAAAAAAAAAGTGCTAGTTTATGGACCAACAACATAAAAAGCCAAGTTACACATGCTTACGGTATGAAGTACAAAAGTATAATTGAGATAAGTCCTTTGGTGTTGCCAAAATACTAGTGGATTTGGAAATTAAAATATTGTGATGATGAAATAGTTTAAAACCCTCTGTATACTCCTTTCCTCTAATGTAGTAGCCAGCATGCTTTCTGTTTCAAGTGACAGAAACACAATTCAAAATAGTCCAAGAGTTTATTGGTTTGTATAACTGGGTAGGGCTGGTTTCAGGATGGCAGATCCAGGGTCTCAGATGTGCTTATCGGGTCTCTCTCTCAGCTTTTTTTTTTTTTTATGTATTGATTTTAGAGAGAGGAAGGGGGGCGGGGTCGGAAGGAGAGAGAGAGAAACATCGACTTGCTATTCCACTTATTTATGCATTCATTGCTTGATTCTTGTATGTACCCTGACTGGGGATGGAACCCACAACCTTGGCATATCAGGATGATGTTCTAACCAACTGAGCTACCTGGCCAGGGCTCTCAACTTTGTTTTTTCACTGTTCTGGAACTGTTCTCTCCTATGCAGGTGGGCTTCCCCACAAGGCAGGGAAATTATCAGACAGTATCCCCCAGTTAACATCTGCCCTCACCTCCATAATGCAAAAAGCAAAGCACTTTCTCCTCCAACTCTAAATGTAAAAGTGCAGGGTAAAAACTTGAGTTGTATGCCTTTGTCTACCAAAGCCAGTTAAATGGGATATGAGGAACGCCTGGAATGTTCTGTGCCCACTATAAAGCAGGGTCATGGTTTAGTGCCCCACCAAAATCACACAGTTGCATTGCTGTGGGAGAGAACTAATTCCCCAAAGGAAGAAGAGCTATGCAAACAAAGCCAAAAGACATTCCTGAAGATTTCAACCCTGAACTTCAAATCTGCCCTCACCTCTTGGTGCAGCTGTGTCCCATTGAATGTTTGACTAATATGGTTATATTTCTGGCTCAGTGGTTCTTAAACTTTAACAGGCATCAGAAACATCTATAGGGCTTGTGAAAACAGATCGCTGGGAACCACACCAGTGTTTCTGATTCAGTCAGGTCTCTTCCCAAGTGACGCTGGTGCTGTTGGTCTGAGGACCACACTTTGAGAACCACTCTTCTAGGATTTTTTTTTAATTGTTAAAGAGCTTCTTCTTTTTTTTTTTAATAAAATCTTTATTGTTCAGATTACATTTGTTCCTCTCTCTTTCCCCCCCCCCCCCCCATAACTCCCCTCCTCCCAGTTCCCGCCCCACCCTCTGCCCTCACTCCCCACCCACTGTCCTCATCCATAGGTGCACGATTTTTGTCCAGTCTTAAAGAGCTTCTTATCCAAATAAATATCATTCCTGGATATATTTCACAGGTAAGATCTTTCTAATCTTCAAAGAACCTATCCTTCTGATGCTGATTAAATATTGTGGCCTTGGGCAAGTTACTTAACCACTTTGCCATTTTTGCTTGTGTAAAATGGAAATAATGGTACTTATTTCATAGGGTTGTTGCAGAAAGTAAATGGTTTCATGTATGTAACACACTTAGAAGTATCTATTATATAATATACAAGTGTGTACGAGTATTTAAACTGCTCCCAAGAATGTAGAGAAATTGCCCAAAGTATTTTATAATGGAATCAAAATATCAATATCAAATCCTGGAAAGGTTATGCACACCAATCTCACCTATAAATTAACCATGAAAATCATAAATATTAGCAAATGGAAGCATGCTATATGGTAAAAGATACAATATCACAACCAAATGGGTTTTATTCCAAAAATGGGAAGATAGTCCAACTAAATGTACAAATATAGTTACTATAGTAATAGGTCAGAAGCAAAAATTCCTATGGTTGTTTCAAATGCTGCAAAGGTAATCAATACTGGCTCCTGGTGGAAATTTTTAATAAAGTCAGAATATGGGTGGTAGACATTTTCATTCCTATTTTTGGCTATCCAGCAGCAGCAGCCTGTTGTGAAGTGTGGAGTTTGTATGAATCTTGGTGGGATATGGGGTCTCACTGTCAAAGCCAGGCACGTGCTGTCCCTGGCTCTGGAAGCCACACTACATGCACCAACACAAACTGGTCAGCCAGAGCCCCTGGCCTGGGACTCCGAGTCAGGAGTGGCAATGCGAAGAAGCAGGGGTGCGTTAGAACTCTGCCTGGTGGCAGCAGCGATGCCGTGTTGAGAATCTGCAGGGACATCTCAGCCTGACTCCTCTGGGGGTATAATTTTGGCTGCAGTATGGCTTCCCTGCCTTTTTTTTTTCTCTTTCTTTTAGAAGAGATAAAATTCGATTTGATTTTTAAAGATCAGTATCATTGTGTCTTATAAAGTGGGGGGAAAGCAGCCTAGGCAGAGGGAACAGAATGTGTGAAGTTTGTTCTGATGTCCCAAGGGATAAAACTAGTAATGACAAGTACATGCCACAGGAAGTCAAAGAATATTTGCAATAAGGCGAAGAAGATCACTGGCATTTAGATGGAGACCAGTGGGCCGCCACTTGGTAGGAGCGTTGCAGTGAAGACTCAACCATCGGATGGGTACTGGGACCAGATGAAGTCATATTTGCAACCCTGAGATTTATTATTGGGTGCTTCTCAGCCAAGGAACAAGCAAAACCTCAGACTTCAAGGGAACCCCCAGTTTCATGATTCTGACTCTTGTATCTTCAGCCTTACCAGAGAGACCATGAGCCTTCCAAATTTTCCTTCCCTTACATTACCCAGATTGTATTTGGGATGTTTGGATCCAAGAATTTTGACTAGTGCAAAATTATTATCTTTTGGACCTGATATTAAAAGTGTAGATCTCAAACCAAATGCTAACATTATTATCTGATGGTGGAACACCAAAAACATTCCCATTTTTCCCAAATATTGATAGATTTTTTTTCAATTACAGTTGACATTCAATACTATTTTATATTACTTTCAAGTGTACAGCATAGTGGTCACACATTTAAACAATTTACAAAGTATCCCCCTGATAATTCCAGTACTCACTTGGCACCATAGTTATTACCATATTACTGATTATATTTCTTATGCTGAACTTTACATCCTCATCACTATTCTGTAACTACCAATTTGTACTTCTTAATCCCTTCACCTTTTTCACCCAGTTCCCAACCCCTCTCCCATCTGGCCACCCTCAGTTTTTTTGAATCATTCCCATTAGTGCTGGCAATAAGACAAGGTGATCTCTATGATCACCTACCATAGGAATCTCTAGATTATTTTTAGGGAGAAGGTGGCAGGGAACAACTTTCATTTCAGCAAAACCCGTGAACACCAGTGTGGGCAAGGTAAACTGAGTGGCCAATAAAATGCCTGAATCACGTTAAGGAGAGATAACCACAAACCAGGCCAAAGGAGCTGCAGTAGGGGAACTTGATAGTATGTCTTAACATATTTTAAAAGGCCAAAAAAATGTTCATGCTTTTGTCTCAGCAGTTTACTTCTGGGAATTTGACATAAGAAAATAATCAGAGCTGAGAACAAAGACTTGTGTGTAAAGGAAAGAAAACATGCACCTGGCCACAATAGAGGGCGATCTGTCTTTTGTGTAGGAAGCGGATTTTCTTCTTCTTCTTCTTCTCCTCCCTCCTTCTCCCCTTTCTCCCTTCTTCCTTCTTCTATTTCCTCCTCCTCCTCCTCCTTCTCCTCTCTCTCTCTCTCTCTTTTTCATTGTACCATATCTTAATATAACTTTAAGTCATAAAAGTCAAGGTCCTGGGCTAGTCTGAATGGGATAGGTTAATAAAAAAGTAAGTTAAGTGCTTCTGAATATAAAATGGGAATTTTTGTCTTAGCCAGTGTGGCTCAGTTGGTTGGAGCATCGTCCCATACACTGAAAGGTAGTGTGTTTGATTCACGGTCAGGGCACATAACCAGGTTTCGGGTTTGATCCCAGGTTGGGGTGAGTGCGGGAGGCAACTGATCTAAATACACTCTCACATCTATGTTTCACTCTCTCTCTCTCTCTATCCTTCTCCCTTTCTCTCTCTCTAAAATCAATAAAAGTATGTCCTTGGGTGAGGATTTTAAAAATAATAAGTTAACAATATGAATTATTAAAATGGGATTTTTTTTTTCTAAGAGCCAAACCTACACCCCGAGGCTAGTCCCTGAAGAGCCCTTCCTAGTCCAGGCTCAGCCCAGTGTTTAAGGGCAGATCCTAGGTCCCCAGAGGATCTGTTAAGGAAAGTTTTACACTTGATAAGTTATTTACAGGAGTAAAAGGTAGGCTCGACTCTTCGGGGCCCAAAGAGCCAAGCATAGCCCCAAAGGTCCGAGCCAACCTAGCCCTAAGAGACAAGCCTAGGCCTAAGAGCCTAGCCTAGCCCCAAAGAGCTGAGCCTAATCCTAGATGGCCAAACCTAGCCCCAAAGAGCTGAGCCTAGCAGCCCCTAAGAGCCAAACCTAAGGCCAAGGTATTTTTTTTATTATATATTTTTTTTATTAATTTCAGAGGGAGAAAGAGATAGAAACATCAATGATGAGAGAGAATCATTGATTGTCTGCCTCCTGCACGCCCCCTACTGGGGATGGAGCCCGCAACCCAGGCATGTTTCCTGACTGGGAATCAAACCGTGACCTCCTGGCTTATAGGTTGACGTTCAACCACTGAGCCACAGAGGCTGGGCTAAAATAGGAGTTTTTATGTTTGACGTTGAAGTGCCAAGAGGTGGAAGCCCTTGAACCTAGGAATCAAGAGAAGATGTGGGGAGAACTCTCAGGATCAGGAGGTGGACCCCAGTATCCTGGAAGCAACTGGGAGCCTTTGGCAAGAGATGAAAAGTAAGCTCTCTATGGCCCAGAATGGTTAGTGAACTGGAGGGCTAGCAGAGTCTGAGCAGCTCAAATTTGTTTCTTTTTTTTTCCTATAAGTAATTAAACTCTAGCTTCCCCAGAGTTTCAGTTAAAATCTATAAAGTATAGATTGAGCTTGTGTTCGTGGAGAGCAAACAGGAGCACACAGGGGCGATCAGGAAGTGACCTGAGGACGTAAGCAGGGAGGAGTGGAGACTGAGATGACCGGAGATCTTCGGGAGGATTTAAACACCACCTTTCATCCAGGAGTCCCCCAGCTGCAGGGGAAGGGGGCGCTGGGCATCCTGCAGTTATTTTATGATAACAAGACACCGTTATTTTCTTTGTATCGTGAAAAGGGGGGTAATGCAAAGGCAAGGGAACTTGGAGACATGCTGATTCCATGTGTGCAAGGGTATTCAGAGCAGCGTTATTCAGACTCAGGCATCACTGTCTCCAGAACAACCTGAAACTCCATTTATCAATTCAGCATTCTCAAATTTACTGTCTACCTCAGCGTGGGGAGGCAGGAAGAGCCAGTCCAGCCCTCAGGCCCATCCACTTAACCTTCCCACTCCTGCCCAAGCTCCAGCCACACTCTTGTCCACCCCTTTGTACTAAGGGCAAGCACACCAGTGGTGTGGCTCAGTCTTGGGAGGATGGATGGGGAAAGAGGCCCGTCAGGTCTTGAAATGAGCTCCTCAAGGCAATTTGGACAGGGAATTCCAGGGTACCCAGAGCACACTTGAGGGGAGAACTGGGACAGGGCATGACCTATCAGTAGAAACCTGGTTCAAGTAAATCCAAAAAGTTTTCCAAGCTGTGTTTCCTGTGATTTCAGCAGCCTTATGATGGGTACAAGGATATTTGAGGACATACTGAAGATAAGTATGAAAAAATACAATCCTAAAGATGTTAATAAAGAAAAAGGAGATGTCCTGCCAGGTAGCTCAGTTGGTTAGAGCAGTGGTCGGCAAACTGCGGCTCAAAAGCCACATGCGGCTCTTTGGCCCCTTGAGTGTGGCTCTTCCACAAAATACCACGTACGGGCGCGCACGTACAGTGTGATTGAAACTTCATGGCCCATGCGCAGAAGTTGGTATTTTGTGGAAGAGCCACACTCAAAAGGCCAAAGAGCCACATGTGGCTCGCGAGCCGCAGTTTGCCAACCACTGGTTAGAGCATCATCCTGATACGCCAAGGTTGTGAGGTTCGATCCCTGGTCAGGCACATACAAGAATCAACCAAATTTCAGCAATAAGGAAAAAAAACCCCACCAAAACCTTAAAAAAAGAGAATCAACCAATTGAATGCATAAGTAAGTGCAACAACAAATCAATATTTCTCTCCCTCTCCCTTTCTCTCTCTCTCTCTCTCTCTCTCTCATCAATAAATAAAAATTCTAAATTTAAAGAAAAAGGAGCTAGCTCAGTAATATAGAAGACTACCCCCTAAATTAC